GCTACATCGGCTGGAAACTCAGTGGCTGGATCCATGGACTGGCATAAGCACTTGGCTATCGACTGTCGAGATTCGAGATCGAGGATTAAGGAGATTCAGTCTGGGTTCAGGAGAGAGATTATGAAAGAGAGGACTGGGTCAGTAAGAATCTCTAAGTTTGGGATGTCGTCAAGGACTTGAGGAAGATAATCGAGGTTGATGGGCCGTTGTGGTGGTCGTTAGGGCCCAGATTTGCAACGGTGGTGATGTCGAGGTGGTGGATGAGATGATTGACAGAGAGTGACAGAGTGTGGATAGAACCATGGAGGGGAGGGGACGACGCATGCAAGATGGTGAGAGAGAATCGAGTTCGAGGACTCGAGTGATAGAGTCGAGCTAGAGAAGACCGAGGGTAAAACTAACAATTAAGATTAAATGGTAGGTTACTCTTCAATCTTGTCTGTCTGTCCATTGCAATTACAAATGGGCCGGTCTGAGGCCTCTTTTTCTATACATCTAGAACCAGCCTGCCCTGAACCTTGATTACCCGTCCTGACCTGCGGTTCATATACCTGTTTGCCCACCCCTAATATGGTTCGTGAATGATTACTTTACAATAAGGGCTACGTTAAACTTCTGTAAGTTCCTAAACCCAAACTACCTTCATATTTTGTTAAGCCCAAAGTCTCCTAACTGATCCAATGAATACTTCTTTGTTTATTTCTTTGACTCCACCAAAACCTTGCTAATAGGGAATCAATTTTTCTGTAAGTTGACACTGGGAATCAATTTCATTGAGTAATCTGGCACTGCCTAAGCCACCACTTTTATGGGACCATGATTTTCTAGGGCTGGAGCAAGACGAATCGAAATAAGAATACCTTAGAAGTCTGGTCATGGATTCAACAGCTTCCACAACGAAGCTGCACAAACGGATCAGGGATGCCACCACCATCCTGTTTCTGAATAGTGGGCGAAGTCCAACGACTTCACTTAGATTCACCGTGCTTGTTCTGCAAGATTCAAAAACATGATCCAGTAAATAATTAGCCAGATTTTCTATATTTTTGGAATCTTACAATATAAGGATTGACTTGTGCCACAAGTAATCCAACTAGTAAGAGGATGCAATATCTACTCCTACATATCCTCTGGGATTCTCCTGGTTTACAGACAAATTCCATATTCTAAAGGTCTCGATTATAACTTGTATAAATATACCCTTCTAAGGTTCATCTCTAGTAACGCAATAATCATACACTTATTCTCTTGCATACTGCTTGAGTCTCATAATATAAGTTACTAACTTGATCCTTGGAAAGCCTTTGGTTGGCACCATCCCCAGTCATTGGCCGCTTATGGTTGTTTGCTATTTTACAGGTTAACGAGTTTGTGCATCTCCTCCCTTCTTAGCAGTGTGCGAATTTGGTTCCAACAATTGGTGATTTCATTGAGAGTAAACTCATATTCCACCCGTCCAAATCACTCTACCACAACAATGGTTATTTTAAAGCAATGTCACGGTACCTTCATAGCCTAGAGAGCAACGATGCTTCTGGTAGTGAAGATGCCCCCACTATGGATCGAATTTGGAAAACTTTGGTAAAGATTAACGCGTCAGTTAACAAGTTTCGAAAGGCCTTATGAATAAAGGGCTGTTCAATGTGTGAAGGCCCTTAAAAACATTGTCTATGGTTTTGAAGAGCCACTAGTTGAGGTAATTCTTGTTTAGACCCCAATCAGAACTGTTAATTTGAACCCTTATGCGAAGCGTCGTCGCCCCACTCCCAAAACATTTTGCAAAAGATCCAAGAGATCCCATGAATCTTCTAGAAACCAAAAGCTAATGGAGACACTGGTTTTCAACGTCAACTGTATTTATAGAGGACAAAAGTATCTAGATAAAACTAAAATAGAAAGAAAAGCAAGTTGAAATAAGCCAAGATGGTAGCTTCCATCAACAAACCCCTCCTCATCATCTAGTATCCTAATGTTCACTGATCAACAATGCCTTGGTCTTCAAAGTCCTAAAAGACATACACTCCTCCCACGATGATGCCATGGTCATCAAAGGTAGACCTGACATTCGTGTCGTGTTTCTCGTGTTCGTGTCATTTTTGTTCATACCCGATAGCTTAACGGGTTATGTCGTGTAATACTCGTTAAAGTAAATGGGTAATATGACTCGACCCGAAATCAACCTGTTAATATTATCAGGTAATATGACCCGACCCGTTACCCGTTAAGAAAAATATATTTTAAATCAATCAAAATGAAATGAAAAACATAATTTGACCCAAAAAAATGTAAAACATAATACTAAATTAGTATATATATATACTAAATTTCAGAGTTGACCCCTTCATGAAAGTTGTAAAGATTTTCATTACGAGTGATTACATTTTTCACACTTCTACAATAATCATTATTAATTTTGCACTCGAATAGAAAACATTGTTCATGAGATTTGAAAGGTTTTAAAAATTATAAATGTTTATTATGCTTTCATACTTGTACATTAATGATTATGAATTTTGTTTATTTTTAACTCCCTTAAAAATACTATTCATGACTGTTTGTATGGTTTTAAAAATTCAAACGATCATATACCCATCCTCAAAGCATAGAGGATGTGACTACAAGCATTCGCATATATTTTTTTCATATTTTTCGCACATGTAAATTAATTATTATAATTTTTTTAATGTGTTTGGTATTTTTAAATTACTTGATATTTTTATTTTTAATGTGTTTTATGATTTTTAATCTCAATCTTTGCCTATAATATACTATAAAAATAAATAAATAAATAAAACTTAAAATTTAAAATTTATATAGAATAATAGTTAATAAACAATATATACATATTCATTATATCTATTGTATTTTATAGTAAGTTTTTTTTAGTAATTTAAAAAATTAAAATCATCAAAATAACTTCTTTCTTATCGTGTCGAAACAGGTTATCCGCATATCACTCTCGTGTAAACCTGTTAAGGACTCGTTATTAACGGATTATTATAGTGTGACCCGATAATGACCCGATTAATTATCATGTTGTTAGATCCCATATCTTCTATGCCTTATATGTACATGCCCACTGTTGGAGCAATATTAGAAAATATGAAAATAAATATAATTGCAATGATAATAATCATAAAGAAATTCACAATATCAATTATATATGAGATTAATATAAACAACTAGAGAGAAAGTTAGAAAAATTGACAAACTTGGAGATTAAGGCTTGTATAAATGCAATGTCCTTAAGACAGAATTTTGCCCCTACTCTTGTGCTTGTAATTCGGTAGACATCCGTCTCCCAGGATTCAACAATCTATAATCCGAAGTCAAAGCACTTTAGTCATCGAACTCTGGCGAACTTCATATATTCCGTACTCTCAAGACACGACTCTGATTTTTACTAAGACATTGGAGAAAACTCTTCTCTTAATCCCCTTTGATATGTGGGATGTTTGAGTCTATATAGAACTCAAGCCACTCCCTTTTGAAACATTGTGACCGTTGCCTAAAACTCCAGTGAACAGACGCAACTCATGAATTTGAATTCAACTATGACACATGACTTTTATTTTTCATTCATATAAAAATTAAATATTATAATATTAATTATAATATATAATGTCCAACACCCACCACCATATAGCATGAGGCCTTTTGGGAACTCACTGGCTTCGGGTTCCATTGGAACTCTGAAGTTAAGCGAGTTCGGACGAGAACATTCCCAAATGGATGACCCATTGGGAAGTTCTTGTGTGAGTCCCCAGAAACAAAACCGTGAGGGCGTGGTCGGGGCCCAAAGCGGACAATACCGTGCTACGGCGGAGTCTGGAGCCTGGGTCGAGATGTGACAATTTGGTATCAGAGCCAATCCCTGGCCGGAAGTGAGTCGACGAGGACGTCGGGCCCCTAAGGGGGGTGGATTGTTGGATCCCACATCGCCCAGGGGAGAGGATCCTCTATGCCTTATATGTACATGCCCACCTCTATATAGCACGAGGTCTTTTGGAAACTAATTGGCTTCGGGTTTTATCGGAACTCTGAAGTTAAGCGAGTTCGAGCGAGAGCATTCCCAGGATGGGTGACCCACTGGGAAGTTCTCGTGCGAGTTTCCAGAAACAAAACCGTGAGGGCGTGGTCGAGGCCCAAAGCAAACAATATCGTGCTATGGCGGAGTCGAGCCCAGGATGTAGTGGAGCCTGGGTCAGGATATAACATGTGTTGAACTGAAACCCGTTATTTTCGTGTCGTGTAAGAAATTGCCCGTTCTAATAAAAGGAAAAACCACCATGCATGTGCAACTAAGAGGATGGGAATTATAGACAAAGACAAAACCACCCTACAACCTTGAACGACGCTCCAATCCGATCACTCGGGTTAGTGAAAAACAGAATATTATGTACTGCACTAGGAAGCTAGAAAGTAATTATTTGCCTCCCCAACGAAACTTTCTTTTTGTTCATATTTTTTCTGGTTAGTGAAAAAGGTTAATGAAAAACAAAGGAAAGAGAGAACAAAGTAAGCATTGTCCATGACATCTCTCTATGTAAGTGGATCTCGCTTTGTAAGATGTTTGCCAGTGAATCTAGCACAAAAAAAGTTTTGTTCTAAACCAAATGAACAACTAGCAAGGCAAGTAACAAAATCCATGTACTATTGACTACTGAGGCATTCTTACATAGTTTCCAGATAGGAAGATACAATAATTAATACGATGTGTCCATTTAGGTGTGGGTGAGAGAATTTTTTGTTCAAATAAAATGCATGATATCTTTATCCCTATGAATCAACTAATTAATTAACATGTAGTCGTCATGCTATTATAAATAAAAAATGTCCAACAATGTTGTTGTTGCATATGAGAGATGCGACGAACATAATGACAAGTAATACAAATTAATTATTGGTCTCGCTAGTACAAATTATTTTATTGATACATTTTAAACAACTACATGAAAATGAAAACTAATTTAAAGATACAAGAGTAGTGCATTCACTAATTAATCATATCCCAAATCCCAAATAGAAGTTGAATCTTGGTCATAATTATGTGAAATATCTTCGGAAGAACGATTTAAATCCATGTTTCCCCTTTGGATCTCAAGTGCTCCATCCATAGCTAGATCATCATCATCAATACCACCTCCCCAATAGCTTGCTGATCCATAGCCGTCTGCCACTTTAGTACCACTGTTGTCATCAATCCGATTGGCCTTTTCTATCTCCATATTAATCCAATCCAACACACTAACAGCACCACTATTTTGATCAGAAGCACAAAGTGTTTGATCTTGATCTTGACCTTGATCATAGTCTGCCCTTGATTTCTTTTCCACAAACCCTAATCCCAAATCAATACTCATCATCTTCCTCTTTTCATTGCTAGTAGTAGCAGGCCACTTCAAATTCTTACCCTTTTTGTTTGAGTGATCTGAGATTTTGAGGCATTTCTCTTTAAGTTGTATGAGAGATTCTTCTTGGTTAACCACTTTGGACCAAATAGCAGTCTCCTTAGCAGTCATCTTATCTTGCAAACACTTGCTTTGCGTCACAAGTCTTCTCACTCTATCCGAATGAGGAGCCATGTGTTTGACCACAGCAGCCAAGGCACTCACTTTCCATGCCTTTTTAAGATCGTGGGGCTTCCGATAAGGAGGAGCGCCGTGCTCTACAGAAAGCCCTTGGTCCCCCCACCACATCTCCTTCCCTGTGGGCCACCACGGAGGAGCTAAACCCTTCTCCAGAGGGAACCTCCGCTGCGGTGGCACGCAGTGCTGAATCAGAGCAGAAAGAAGAGACCCTAAAGTAGTGTCTTGCAGTTCATGAAGCAAATGAGCATAAGAGCCATGATCCGACTCACCTTCAAATATCGGAGCTGGCAGATACTCGGCGATTGCAATGGGGGCGTTGTGGTCAAATCTCGCTTTGTCTTTCCACCACTCTCTTAAGCTATCAGAGGAGCCCGTCACTGGCTTTCCCTTCTCAGGCACAATCCCATATACAAAGCCCTTTGCTTTGCATACCTCCATGATTTTCACCATGTATTTAAGTATCGAATCCTGGGCTCTTGCCATTTTCTTTCTATGAGACCCTTCTTGCTTTGCCGACGACTCTGTAGGTTCTTCTTCTTCGTCTTCTTCTGCCTCAATGATTTTACGATTCTCTTTGAGCTTTTGTAAGCGAATACTATCCTTCCACATTCGCTTCTTAAGCTGGTCGTAGCTGATGTGATCTTCAGCTGCTTCTTCATCTTCTGCAACTACTCCAAGGCTTAGAGGATCAACTTGTACATGGAACTTTACCATAGTAGTACCAGTTGAAGTATTTGTGTCTCTATTGATATAAAGACGGTGTTACTAAGTTAGGTATATATAAACTACCTAGTCCAATGGCGGTGTGAACCAAATTACCAAATATAGAAACGGTGTGAAACCAAATTACTAAATATAGAAACAACAATGTGAAAGGCTTCTTTCCTTTTTAGATATGAAAAGTGAAAACAGATGGGAATGCGTGAGGCCAAGATTGGTATTAACGAGGTTGAGGGAGAAGTTTGGAGGATTCTGAAAATTTCAAAGAAACACGTGAGATTCTGAAGTAAGAAATTAATGGAGGGTGGTGCTGTACGTGGTATATAAGTTGTCACTCCAGCCTGAATGAATTTAATAATTTTCTACATCTTTTCATTCGAGCTCTAGATTTGTTTTTTATGGGTTTCTTTTTTTAGAAACTTTAATGAAAAGGGCTAGGCTTGTTGCAGTTTTATTAAATTAGAAATGTAATCGTGTAAATCCTATCAAATTTGGAATATCGCTTAAATTACATATTATCCTATTAGAGTTGTAATCCTATTGGGTACAGAATTTACCTTCCATACTATTATAAATAAAGACACAATTGGTGGAATAATACACATCTCACAATTACACATATCTCTTTCTCTCTACTGGGCTGCACCCCTTCTCCCTGTCCTTTATACAGTTCAACAAATTAGGCCTACAACACGTTATCAGCATGCTCTTGACGCTGCGCTAAAGAGAGTTTGTTACGTTTTAATCATTCTTTTTATGATTAATTTATTATTTTATTGAATTGATCTACATGTTATTAATTTAATTTAATTTTTCTTTGTTGAATGTGATATAGCGCATTGGAGATGCAATTCTGGCTTTCCGAGAAGGAATCTTCTACAAATTCAAAGGCTCAGTTGTTTTCTGCCAATCAGGTTCTTTTATAATAAATTAAAATATTTGAAATGACCTTGAAACATGAAAGCATTCACATGATGCATGAACCCCCTATATTTATATTTTCCTTCGGATATATATTGTATATGTTCATATATTTATCAATATATATACATATGGATATATATCTACAGACACACGTTCATGCATTACACAATTGTAAAATCGCTATAAGGAATTTGTGAGTCAAAGAATCGAAATAAAATAGAAGCATGATTTTTATTTTTAAAAAAAAAAAAAAAAAAAAAAAAAAAAACCCTAAAAATTTGATGAAAAAAAAAAGAAACAAAAAAACAAAGGGAAAATCGTTCAGCCAAGCTGCACCTAACTGGCCAAAAGCCAAGCTAAGCCTTGTTGCCACAGACAGCAGCCTTTTAGGCCTTTGCTGCGCACAGAACCCAAAGCCTACACGATGGGCTTCTCTTATCCGGTCCACCTTCCATCAGCCTCAAGCAGCTCATTGGGCTTATCCCCCTTATTTTCCCTCAGCCCGTGTTGCAGCATCAAGCCTGCTACTTTACTTATTGTTGCACACCGAGCCCTTGCCTAAAATAATGGGCCTATCCTATCAGCCTGAAGCTGCATTGATGAGCCCCTGCTCTTTGAACCACCTTATCCTATGGGCCATATTTTTTCTTTCTTTCTCGGCTTGTGGTTGTAGCAAGCATGCAAGCTTGCTTCTGCAGGTTGTTAGGCTGTCTGCTACACGAGCCCAGCCTGCAGCCTAATGCTGTAGGGCCTTGCCAAAAGCAGCAACCAACAATTTCAATGTTGGGCTACCCCTATTTCTCAGCCCAAAGCTATTTTGGCTTTTTCTTATTTTTTCAACCGCACCCATATTTTTGGTGCCTAATTTCATGGTTTTAACCAATTTTTTGGGCTTTTCTTTTGAATGGCTTGCAACCGTCTAGCCCAAAATTTGGCCTAAAACTTTGCATTATTTTGCTTCTATGATCGACCCTGAATGGTCTCAATCTATTGAATTAATTAAAGTGACCAACAATCCACTAATCTAACAAGACATCCAAAATTATTGACCTGAAGCCCACTTTTAGATATTAACGATTCAATATTTTATTTCTTTTTTTTTTTTAACTACTAACTCTCTTTCATATTCCCGAAGCATTCACACTTGAGTTCCTGAAGCAATCCAAATCCACTACACTTAATTGTATATTGTATTATGTGTTCTTATAGGTACCTCCTTTTACGAATTGGAAGTTCATAACTAAACTCGAACCTATAGTTTCGAATTTAGTGCTTTTGAAACCTAAAGTTTTCATAAAACAATACACCCATGAAAACCCGACTTTTTTCATGTAAACCATGTTTGAGAACTCGGATGTTCTAACTTTGATGCTTATGGATATCTTATTTCCATACCACCAATCACAACCTTGTTTCATCCATTCAGTGGATTGTCGAACGGTAACAAGTTTGATTTCACTGATTTGGACGTTTCTTGACTGAACCCACTTTATGTGGGTACAAGACGTGAATCTCCACTTGACTATCAAGAAGCTGAGTAACTATTGAAGCCAACAACGGCATGAAAGAGCTGACTAAGCCTCTGCCATGATCTTCATACGAAGACTTATGCCTGAAGCATAACAAACGGAAATACCTCCTAAAAGAGGATTCCATGGCTCTTTGGCTAACTCATACAAACCGTCTAATCATGAACAATATTGCTTGAAGCACACCATGATTACATCCATGAATGAATACGATTTTGAAGTTCGTAAATCTGATAGAATTTCACTAGAGAATACTTTAACTCCTCATTACTACCACAAATTCTCGTATCCGAAACTCAACCCTTCAGAATCTACTTCCATTTTTATGGAATGGATCATTGGTTATGCACCTGTTTGGGCCCTTACCAATGTCATAGAGGAGTACCATTAGGGTGTGTTTGTTGCACTGGACTATCTCAAACTGCATTAACTTCAGGGACTAAGCTAGCTTGGCTTGAGGACAAGATTGGTATTAACGAGGTTGAGGGATAAGTTTGGAGGATTCTGAAAATTTCAAAGAAACACGTGAGATTCTGAAGTAAGAAATTAATGGAAGGTGGTGCTATACGTGGTATATAAGTTGTCACTCTAGCCTGAATGAATTAAATAATTTTCTACATCTTTTCATTCGAGCTCTAGATTTGTTTTTTACCGGTTTCTTTTTTTTAGAAGCTTTAATGAAAACGGCTAGGCTTGTTGCAGTCCTATTAGATTAGAAATGTAATCGTGTAAATCCTATTATATTTGGAATATTCCTTAGATTAGATATTATCCTATTAGAATTGTAATCCTATTGGGTAAGGAATTTACCTTCCATACTACTATAAATAAAGACACAATTGGTGGAATAATACACATCTGTCTTTCTTTCTACTGGACCGTACCCAGGGCTGGCCCAGGCCCAGTGCTGGCAGGGCGATTGTCCGGGGCCCAAAATAATCGGGGCACCAAAATTATTAGGATGGTATATTTATATATGTTTTCATAAGAGTATAAATTTATCAAATTTTATTCAACGACAAAGAAATTTAGCTAAAATTGGTGGTTTTGTTGTTTGAAATTAATGAGGAAGTTTTGGGTTCAAAACACCATGTGTGTTTATTTACTTTTCAATTTTTACAAATTTCTTTTTATAAAAGTATAAATATATAAAATTTGGGTAAATGATTAAAAAGTTTAATTAGAACCAATGGTTTTTGTTGTTTAAAATTAACGAGAGGTCCTAGGTTCGAAATGCTAAGTGCATGTTTATGCTTTTCAATTTTTACGAATTTTTTTTTGGTTAATTTATTTTTAATTAGTAACTAGTAGCTATGTGAGGGCACATTTTTTGACCTCGCCCTGGGCCTCAAAAATCTCTAGATCGGCCCTGGCCACACCCCCTCTCTCTGTCCTTTATACAGTTCAATAAATTAGGCCTACAACACGTTATCAGCACGCTCTTGGCGCTGCGCTAAAGAGAGTTTGTTACGTTTTAATCATTCTTTTTATGATTAATTTATTATTTTATTGAATTGATCTACATGTTATTAATTCAATTTAATTTTTCTTTGTTGAATGTGATATAGCGCATTGGAGATGCAATTCCGGCTTTTCAAGAAGGATCTTCTACATATTCAAAGGCTCAGTTGTTTTTTGACAATCAGGTTTTTTATAATAAATTAAGATATTTGAAACGACCTTGAAGCATGAAAACATTTGCATGATGCATAAACCCCCTACATTTATATTTTCCTTCTGATATATATTGTATATGTTCATATATTTATCAATATATATATATTAACACACCCCGAACGAGATCAGGGCGTGCTGGCCGCCACGTGGAAAAGACGTAGCCATGTGCACAGTGCGGAAGCTAATAAAGTATTAACGTAAAAGTACAAATAAATAAAAACTAGCATACATAAGATAAAAGTAATAAGTGCTAGCGTAAGTGAGACACAAGTTCAGAGCAGAAAGCCTAAAGCAGTCCAAACTAAAATGACGCTACAACAGTACACCCGAAGGTGGACCTACGCTGGTGATCGTCTGTCAGAAATGCCGAGAAAGCCCTCTGGGAAACCACCGAACCTGCTAGGTAACTAGAACCTAGAAGGGCGCAAAACAAAAGCGTGAGTGGGCAAAAACAAAGCTTTTCGAAAACCATTTAATAAACAAGTTCTAACCCCTCGCCGTAAAACCTGTATACTTCCCAGAAAGTAAACATATGTACGTTTATATAGATATGCCAATCATGCTCAAGAATATGCCATGTTGGAACCTCAGAATGAAATGCAAGTGCTCAGGTATAAATCACATCAATAACATATAATCTGGCAGCCGGAGTCACCTAACGTGACCTGTACGGCTGCATCTAGAGCTCAAATCTCAATCACAATAACTAAACCTGTCCACAAGTCGGAACCACCTAAAGTGGTATGTACGACAGGCCTGGGTGTAATACATATAAACGCTCTAGTGCTACGATCACGTGAAGGCTGTGCGAATAATCGCGGGTCACCTACGAGTCGGAACCACTTAAAGTGGTCTGTACAACAGGACTGTGCACCTAACTT